AAGAATGTAGAATCACATATTAACTGTAAGTTAACAAAAATAACAATAAATTCACCACTAAGGTTACACCTTTCTAGCCCACTGAGGTTGGCCAATAAGAAGCAGGTATGATACTTTGGTTATTAAATGCTGTTATGTAAAGGGAAAATTTAAGTAAAGGAACTTCAAACAATAGGGATTCAAGGACATATCACAAAATTTGTTAAAAGGTAAAGAAACAATGTGTATTTGACAGATAATTCTTTTCAAACAAAATATTCAAAATTCCAGTTAAGAATTTCAGCCAACTTTCAATTCCAATTTACTCTTAACTTCAAACTGTTCTACTTACTTACGAACTCATGACTATCAGAAACAACTCATCGGATCTTGTTATCATGAAGCTGAGCAGACAGAGCCTGGGTTTGCATTTTCTTACCTTTCATATTTTCTTACCATTCTATTTTTCTCAGTGACACACATAGAAACCTTTATTACATATGTACTAGGCCATGCAGGACATATTCATGAGTAATTACATCCTTCAAGTTCTCAGACAAAAACCTATGGTATCAACTCTGTAATTCTGAATAATGATGAATAAAGCAAAGCCTCAATCCTTGTTCTCCATTCCTTGAAGGGTAGCACCAGCATCCCTGTATTATCCCTTCCCTTACACCTGTGATCATGCATAATCAATTCAAACAGATTTAAGGCTTATGTTTTCATACTGGCTTTCCATAGACTGGTGAAATGTGAAAAAACAGCAAAATTGCTAGTCTAACACTATATAGGGACTGGCAAACTTTTTCGTTAAAAGGCCAGAGAGGAAATATTTTAGGCTTCTGGGATGATGACATAAAACTGAAGGCAGTCTCTAGGTACTTATATGAGAAGACAAAGCCAAATTTTTAATGATGAAAGAAACTTTGGCTAAGTAGATAATGAGAAAAACAGAATTCATTTTTATTCAGGATAACAATTGACTTATAGGGAATTCAGTTAGTGTTTATAATCATTAAATGGCCACAATTTACCAACTTTTGTTTTAGATTATGGAAGGAAAAAAGAGCATGATTTAGAGGCCATCGCTGAACAAATACTTCCCTTACTAATGACAGTGTAAATCTATGAGAGCAGTACTTCAAATACTTCTGAGCCAAGATAATACTAAGTTCCCATGGCAGTTTGTGGTACAACCTCAGGCCAGTCATGGATTTCACCTCCTTCTGTCACTTGGAGCTTGGAGCACTATAGTATTTCAAAAAAAATTTTTCTCTTCCAACTAGACTGTTGGAAGCTACTTCAGTTACAATATCTCTTACCATCTCGTCTCACCAGCTAAAGAAATGTTCTTGGTATAAAAAAGAAAAGTAAGTGCTTAGTTAATGAAGTTTATTAACCTATCAACGCACACAAAACCTTTAGAGAAAAACTTTAAAAACCAACTTGGCTTTCTCCTCCACATTAAATTCTCACTTCCATTATATTCTAGTCTGACTGACTCGGAACCACACGTAAATTAAAACAATAAAATAGCTAAACTGGGGGTGTCACTTGGTAAATATTACGACAATATTCTTTTTTGGGAGGTGGGGGATAGCTGGGATTGAAGCTAGGTCCTAATGCATGGCAAACAAGCAGACTACCATAGAGTTGCATTACAGCCCTCTTTTTACATTTTTATTTTGAGACAGGATCTTACTAGGTTGCTCAGACTAGTCTTGAACTGACTCTGTAGCCCCAAAAAGATTGGAATTTGTGATCCTCCTGTTTCAGCTGCCCAAGTGGCTGGAATTACAAGCCTGGACTACCAGGCCAAGCTTTAATGTTCTTTTAAATGTCACCATTATCACTTAGTAAATTTTACTTATTACACTGCAAAAGGTATGCTATAGACAATCAGCTTCATGTTTATGAAGGTGATATCCAGACCTTTCCTCTATAGACTCTGTATAAACAGTTGCCTGGTCAAATGTGTATGTGCACTCATGTATGATGCATATCCTCTGGAGTTTCACAGTACACACCGGTGCTCTAACAGCACTGAAAAGTGCTACAACCAGTTCAACCTGACATTTCCAAACCCATTTGCTCATAGTATCATTTTCACCCAATCTTTAGACACTATAGAATTAAAGTCAGATAACGTTTTAGGATTTGCAACTATTTAAATGTCTAAGACCTTACAATCTGGTTACTAAACTAACTGTAATAACTATATTTTAAATGTAGAAAATCTGTAATTTTAATTGTTTATTTTAGGTTTGTCTTTGAGATGACCCCCTAGTAGCAACAATCCACCCCTCCTACATGGCAGTGCTGGTCACACATTTCTCTTCTGAGGCAGTTAAAGAAAACACAGACAAAACTGACAACATCAAATATAGGCATTCCTTTTCTTGGGCCATGTAGCACAAACATATTTTTTCATTAACAGCAGTTACGATATAGTAAGAATAGAACCAACAGTTGTATTACCTGCCTTACTCAAGATAAAATGAAATGATGTAAAAATGCTTTTAACTCCAATCTTTATTACAAACAATAAAAGTAATTTAATTACCCAGGAGTCTTTCACAGCAAAGTTTAATATGTAATTGTAACATCACATTTAGTTTTTGTTTTTGGCCAAGTGTTTTAGTTGTTTCCACAATAGCTATCATTAAATTGCTCTTATTTGCCATTTATTCCCAGTCTATTATTTCCACCAGCCTTCCACCTGCTTATTCTAATGCTATACAAGTCTTTCAGCAATGCAGTATTTTGCTGTACCAATAAATTAGATGCAGTTATCTATTAGCATGACCTTTGCCTCCTGTTTCCTCCTATTTCACCCTCTAGAAATCTGCTACCTATGAAGTTCCCTTTTGGAGAACTGTTGCTGGCTCAGAGTATACGAATTCAGGAGTTTACGTTGGGATATGCTTGGACTCTCACCTATATGTAAATGGGAGTGGACTGTAGGGTCTGAATTACAAGAAATGTGATCTAGGATAGTGACAGATATGCAAATTGTTTCTATTAAGTAAGCAGTTACTGACGTTCTGAGAACAGAAGAGGCAGAAGGTTTAAAAATATTGATATTGGGGTGGAGACTGCTCAGTGGTAAGAGCACTTGCTGCTCTTTCGGAGGTCCAGGGTTTGATTCTCAGCCCCCGCAAGATGGTTTACAATCATCCATAACTCCAGTTCCAGGGAATCTGATGCCCCCCTCTTTTGGGCTGTGTATATCAAGGACACTTGTGGTGCACATGTATCCACACAGGTAAAACATGCATACACACACATATGAAAAAGAAATCGTAAAAGACAAAATAGGGAGGAGACTGAAGATGAGACAAGATACAACTAGAGCAGCACTGTACGAGGATTTTCTTCGATGCTGGAGATGTAACAGCAAACTGGCACATTTGTTATTGTGCAGCTTGGTCTGCAGATAGTTGGTAATTTAAAGAAATGTTAATTTAAATCCCAACTTCAATGTGGTTACTACATTAGACAGCAAAGAGCTACAAATGTATGCTGGAAATAAAGCTGGCATCATGAAAGTCATGGAAGGATTTCAAAAGATGGAGTATGATCAATGGTGCATTAAGCATTACAGAGGCAAAGCAAAGTGGAACTCAAAAGTCACTACTGTATACCCCAAGCACTATGGCTAGAGCAGAACCCCAGACTTTCATTATGTTAAAGTTCTAGCCCCTATGAGACCAATGTTTGCAAACACTACCTTTGTAAATAGATAAACCCAGTCAGGATCCACTATCACTGACATGAAGAGACCTCAAACACAAATAATTCTCAAGGAAGCTGTACCACTTAGTCACCCTTCATATCATGATAAATTTCATGTTCTTAAAAAAAAAAAAAGACTGGGCATGTCTTCAATCCCAGCACTTGGGAGGGGCAGGTGGATCTCTGTGAGTTCCAGGCCATCGCGTTCCAGGATAGCCAGGGCTACACAGAGAAATTCTGTCTCGAACTGCCCCCTGCCACCTCCCCCAAAAGAAAACCCAAATCAAAATCCAAACCAATTATCATCAAAACAGGAACACTTACCTTTGGTTTCCAAGGTTTTAATGGTAGCCATTTTTGGGTTTTGTAACTACCGAAAATGCACTCCAAGACTTTCACCAAAGGCCTAGAAATGTATACATATTAAAGAATTAAACCAATACCAAGATACTCAATCAGTGCCTCTACTTTAAATGTTATATTTTAATTGTTTCTGCCTTTAGTACCCACACATTTAGAAACGGGGCCATTCTTCACTATCTCCTTTTGACAGGCCTAGGTTTATGGATTATTCTCTAGACTGTAGAGGCTTCACCACACTCCCTCAAAGACGACTGCTCCCAGTTTTACAAACGACTAAGAGCACGGTCCAACTTCCCCAACATCACAAATCCTTGCTCTGGGAACAAATCCCAGGACTCCACCCCGGAGCAAACCGAGATCAAAACGTCAGAACAATCTTTAAACCCCGCACGGAATTCCGCCGAGCTCCGACCCGACCCACCGCGTCTGTCTCGCAAGCCGGCTCCAGGACGTCCCTCTGACACCCGTCCTTCAGTGTTCCCCGCACAGCCTCTCCACTCATAAACTGCTCCGGGACGCCGACCCGCCCAGGCCTTCCGCACGGACACCTAACTGCTGGCTCACTCGAACCACTTCCTATTACTCAGGGTCTCGTTTCCGGAATGCTCTTTTCACCGACAGTCCGTGCAGTGTTTAAAAATGTAGAAACACGGAGTGGGCCATGGATCGGCTCAAAGACTGAAAAGTGGAATGATGTGTACTTTAAAAAAAAAAAAAAGTAGCAATCTGTAAAGCGAGCCGTATATAAGCTTAAACTTCCGGGTCACTAACAACCAAACGGAAGTGGATTTGTTGGAAGGGAGATGGAGGCGTCGCGTTGCCCCGGGCGATGAGGTAAAGGGTGGGTCTTTGCGAGAATGGGAGGGGCCTGATTACTACCAGCCAATGGAAACGAAGTGGCCCCGAGGCGGCGTTGGATAGGGTCTGGAGGAAGGCGGGGCTAGTGTTGCCAGAGTAACCGGACCATTGGTGGTGTTGTCTTCCTGTCGAAAGATAACTATTTCCTGTGCTGAGATCCACAACCTATGGTGAGTATTTCAGGAGCCGCGAAGAAAGGCTCCTGGGCCCTGGTTACGGAGCCCCAAGTCTTTGGGCGGTTGGGCACTTAGAGGCGACCCCATGGCTTCCTTCTTCACCTCATTATCTCGCTGCACGCAGTTCCTTCTGTCCCTGCTCTCCCTTTTTTCTTGCAGCACCCTAACTTCCACGAAACCTGAACCTAGAGTAATGTAACAGAAAGGGGAAAGATTTGAAACATAAGAGCATCCGATGGGAATTATTTCGAATAAGCGATTTATAAGCTTGCATTGTTCATCTTTTTGCATTTTTCAGTCGTGCACCCTCATACCGACGAGGTGGTGTCTCAACACTAGCAAGATCTGAATCTCCCTAAATACTGGAGTCTGTTCTCACAAGTGGTCGAGTGCTGCCTTGCATCTCCTACCAGGACCGTTCAATAATAGATGTCTGCTGGCTCGGCTTCTAGTTTATTGCATACTTTCCAGGTCTCTGTGTTTTAGCAGGTATGTCTTCCAAGATTACTTGGAGAGCTTCTAGACTTCACCACTATAAATTGTGACTGAATAGGAATGGGGCTTGACAATTTGTTTTTTAAATAAGCCTTTAGATGATTTTAATTCACCCCCTGCTTCACTTCTCAGAGTTCTATTTAACTCATCTTCAGTCTTCTCAACACTTGAGGATGGTGGACTGGACATAGCAAAATATTGCCTTCACGTGGGTATAGCTATGACTTAGCAAGAGACACCCCCACATCTCATTGCTGTTCAGCAGTCCTTTTCGTTACCTAATCCATCCCTCTTTCCTGTGGAGACTTCTTCAAACCTATACTTCACAAACCCTATCCCTCTTCATCTTTTCTCCTTTCTAGACACTTGGCAGAATCTAATAGGCAATGTGTTCAGTATCAGATCCCAGCTAATCAATGCTTTTGTCCATTCTGTAGCCATGCATTTCCACTTTACAGAAGGGAGTGGTGGGAGATCACTCACCTGCTTTTGCTCTTGATTTCACTTGCTGCCATCTGTGGTGCCCATCTACGCCACAGAATAGCATTTGATCTGTTTTGTGTGTGTGTGGTGTGTATACTGATTATTATGTAAAGTTCATTTCTCACTGTGAGTCATGAGCCGTGAAAAATCAAAACATGGTGTACTTTGAAGAGTAATATACTTTAGGGTAGAAAAGTGGAACTCTCCAGGCATGCAGATTTATTTTTTTCCTCTTTAATCTAGGGATGGTGCTCTTACTATTTGTCTGAGAAGCAGTGAGATGTTTTTAGAGGAAGGGAAGCTATATGTTCCTTCTGTGTGTGTGTGCAGTCTAGTCACAGGCAGATGGATGTGTTGTTGTATGTGGCAAAGGTTAAGGGTCTCTGTGAGGACTAGGTTGTTCACTTTGCTGTGTGCCTTTCTCATTACTCCAATTGAACTATATAACCAGTGTTGGAGGGTAGCTCACATGATGAAGTTGTCTTGCAACCCTGATGACCCAAAATGCACATAGAAAAAAAGCTAGACATGCTGGCATGTGCTTGTAATCCCAGCACTGGAAAGGCAGAGACAGGTGAGCTGGTTAGGCAGCCTACCCTACTTGGTTAAGTTCCAGGACTGTCAAAAAACAAGCCTGACTTTTATCCGTGGGACCCACATACTGGAGAAGAGAACCAACTCTCTTAAGTTGTCCTGTGACTTCTACACATGTGCTCTGATATATAAACACATTCACTACAAATAAGTATTAAAATAGTATTTTAAAAGGTGGGTGGTACCTGAGTAATGCTACCCAAGGATATCTTGTCTTCCATGCACATATGCATACATGTTATTGTGTACCCATATATAAACACACAATTTTTCCTAGGCCAGCCAGACTCCTATAGTGAGACTCTGTCTATACACACACACACACACACACACACACACACACACACACACACACACACACACCCCAGAGAGTTTACACACAGGAACAGACACACACACAGATACAAAAAGAGAGTCTACACACAGAGACAGAGAGAGAAGAGAAAGAGAGAGTCTACACAGAGGGAGAGACAGACAGAGACAGAGAGGAGAGAAAGAGAGAATCTACAGAGAGAGACAGAGAGACAGACAGAGAGAGACAGAGAGGAGAGAAAGAATCTACAGAGAGAGAGAGAGACAGACAGACAGACAGACAGAGAGAGAGAGAGAGACAGAAAGGAGAGAAAGAGAGTCTATACATATAACACACCGAGAGAGACACACACAGAGACAGGGAGAGGAGAGTCTACATACAGAGACAGACATACCTACAGACACACAGAGAGAGGAAAGAGAGAGTACACACAGAGACACACTCCCCCACACACACCCACACACAGACAGAGAGGAGAGAAAGAGAGTCTACACACATAGACACAAACACAGAGAGGAGAGAAAGTCTACACACAGAAACAGACACACAGAGACGGAGAGGAGAGAATGAGAGAGTCTCAACATACAGTCTACACACACACACAGAGAGAGAGAGAGAGAGAGAGAGAGAGAGAGAGAGAGAGAGAGAGAGAGAGAGAGAGGAAAGAAAGAAGAAATTAAGTAGCTTGAAGTTATGACAATATGACATGTGTTCAAGAAAGGTCTTCACAAAGATGTGATTTTCAAACTGAGATTTTAGTAATAGAAAAGAGGTGGATCTGGGGGGTGGATCTAGAATGTTCCATTCTGAACAGAGGCATAGTTAGTGCATAGGTACATTAGAGAAGGTGGACAAAGAGAGGATTGCAGAAGGTGGGTAGGAACCCAAAATACTGAAATACTGGACCTTGGAAAGAATTTTAGATTTTATTTTAGATACACTAGCATAATGTGTCATATATTTTGTCTATTCCATCATAATTTTTTGTTTGTTTTTTTATATTGGCTCTACCTTTGAACTTCAACCATATTAGTTTGAGCTAACAGTGACTTTTTCTCTATCTGTAACACTATTGAAATTTTCTGGAAAATATTTTTCTTCTCTTCCCTTTGGAGATCAGAGTGCTACTTTCTGTAATTGCTGTTTGATGACTTGGTTGTCCTTTTCTGGCTGCTTTTGGTGTGGTGAGTGTGAGCAGTGGGTATTGAGGTGTAGTTTTCTCAGAGGCTCTTCTGCTGCTTTTCTTGATGGTGTAGCAGCAAACGACTTATATATTGTCCAGAAATATCCTTTACTTTCAATGAGTTAAACCTCCATTGATTTCTGCAAACATTGTCTAAATGACTTCATTTCTAGAAACGGGCTATTTTAAGATCTTCTGTTAGTCAGATGTGAGACATCACAGCCACTAAAATGTATCATTCACCCCATGCTTATTTCTGTTTCTTACACTTGCCTATTAAGTTGATATTGTTATCTCTACTGACTGACTCATCTTGCATTCTATTTAAGGCACACTTCTTTATTCTTTATATGTGCTTCTCTATGCCTCTTGCCTCTGTAATGACTGTAGACCTCTCTGATGTTTGTAAATTTAATTTAATCCTTGTCTATAGACAATATATTCAGATTAAACATACATATGTATATATATATGTATGTATATATATATGTTATGTATAAAACAGCTTCTGCTGTAGAAATATGGAAAACTATTGTATACAATCACTTATTATGATGAAACACCCTAGGCACATATTTCATGTGCATTTTTAAGATATTGATATGTTGCCAAATTACCCCCAGAAAAGTTTCACCAATTTGTACTCTGCTAGCAGAATGCCAGGGTTCCTGTTTCTCTAACACTCAGAACTGGCCTTTTCACTCATTACATACATACATCTATCATTACAGACATACATCTATCGTTAGATACATACATCTATCATTACAGACATACATCTATCGTTACATACATACATCTATCATTAAGAAGGCCTCTTGCTTTTCTTAGAGCACTGAGAAAGATCACAAATTGCTGCATGTTGTATAAATGAAAGTAACTTAATATTTTCCTGTAATATTTCTCTGTAATTGTTTTCCCATATCTCTCATAAGGTGTTAAAATTTGCAATGTATTGTCTGTTTATAATGAAGAAGCTGAAAGCTGGCTTAAAAGCCCTCTACTCATGCAAAGTTATATATCCCTCCCCTTCCTGGCTAGCTGTTTAGAAGAAGCAGCTTGGTGCAGGCCCTGATGCAGAGCTAGAGCTGAGGTTTCCCAATCTTTACTGCAGTCCTGGTTTCAGCAGCTACCAGCCAGGCATTTGGGATCATTTGGGGCTGTTGTTTTCTCATTCATAAAATCAGAAAGCTACTTCTTACTCAGATTACCTTAAGGCACTTTTATGAGGATCAAATAGTGAATGTTTATAATAATTCATAAACTGTAACGTATTATCCATATGAAATATATTGTTTTCATAATAATCAGATTACTCCCTAATGTGAAGATAGTTGGGAGAAATGGAAAGAGATTAAAATCTAGAACGAACTTCAGAAATAACCATTTGAAGTTAATAGTATTCTTGTATACTTTTACTCTTGAGAAATTTACTTTTTTTGTATATTAAGTTTATTTTTCTTCAAGTTGTCTTATACATTCATTTTCTTGATGGAAGCAATTAGAGGCCTAATTGCTCTTCTGAGAAGTAGGAGGACTTGATCCTGAGTTCAGTTTTAAGAGCCCACATGATCCAGTAGATGGCCACACACCCATTAGTCTGTGGGTGCCACAAATTGGACTTGGTGTGCTACTAAAAGAAAAAGAATCTGAAGTTGAGAAGGCATGGGGAGATGGGGAGTGCATCTGGGAGGGGTTAGAGGGAAGAATGAATATGATCAATATTCATTGTATGAAATTCTCCTAGAATTAATAAAAATATATTTTAAAAGAACTTGTTTGGCTGCTGAGTGTTGGTGGCAATACACACCTTTAATCCCAGCACTTGGGAGGCAGAGGCAGGCAGATCTCTAGGTTTGAGGCCAGCTAGATCTACATAGTGAGTTGCAGGACAGCCAGGACTACAGGAAAAAACCAGACCCCCTCCCCCCCAAAAAAGAACCCATTTGGTTTTGGGGGATGAGCAGCTAACATGGCTGATGTATTTAATCAGGCATTTCTCCTGATGTGTGGATTTCTACTCAGTTTAAATGGATTAATTGTGAATATTGTTTCTGTAGCTTGTAGTTCTTTTTGATTTTAAGTGACATTTGATCATGAAAATATAATTAGAGCATTCAGACCTCATCAGTTCCTTGATGTTTGGGCTCAGAAATATGGCTTTGAAAAAATTAAAATCCCTCCATTCTGTGGCAAGTTAAGCTCTATTGTTTGTGTTAATCTTTTTGTTAAGCAACTTACTGCATTTTACCGTGTGCATCTAAATTTTTAAAAAATAATTATAGTTCTTTAATATCTGAATACTTTTCATAATTGTTTTATGCAAAGAGTATGGCTTCTTTAGAGCTATTATGAGCTTTATGATTTTTTTGTTGTTGATTTTCAATATCCTTTGTGCACATGTCACTGAACTAGAAAATGAGCTTGGAACAGTTCACTAGAAATGAACACTGGGCGTAGGCTCCTGAGCTCCCTGCTTTCCTTTTGAATCTTTGCAGTGTAACACACTCATGGCATACAAAGATAAGACTAACTTTGTGTGTGTGTGTGTGTGTGTGTGTGTGTGTGTGTGTGTGTGTGTGTGTGTAACAGTTCTCGCTGTCCTGGAACTTGCTTTGTAGAATAGGCTAGCATTGAACTCACTGAGATCTGCCTGCCTCTGCCTTCTGAGTGCTTGGATGAAAGGTGTGTGCCGCTGCCACCACCTGACTTAGACTTTTGAAAAGCAGAAATAATTCAGATCGCTGTCTTTAAGGAGCTCACAGACTGAGTCTTATTTTAACAGAAGACTAAAATAAAAGAGACTTCCAATTTTCTTGTTTGTAAAATAAGATTGATAAAAACATTAGCCTCATTATAAGATATTGTTACAGTTCAATGATATGATGCTTACCCTAATGCTTTATATACTGTAAGCATATTAATCTTAACTGCTATTGCTGCTGTTTATCTTATTAAATTTGTTTTTGATGATTTCATATATATGTATATATTGATTTCTGAGTATTGTCATGTTCACCCTTTTTTATCTCCCTCCTACCACAATTAGTAGCCATCCTAGGCCCCTTTCTACATTCATGTATTTTTGTTTTGGCTTGCGAACCACTGTGTTGATCAAGAGCCATCTGTGTGACTATGAATTTGTAACTATCCATTAGAGCTTGATGGGCTCATCAGTGGGTAAATAGCTGAAGGTAACATCTGGCTTTCCCCCAGAATTTATCAGTAGACCATAGTTCGCCAGTGAGAAGTAGGGCCACTTTGGGCCTCTACCTCATCTGGTTTTGCTATTTGACAGGCCCAGTCTATTGAAGCCCATTTGGATGTGAGATAATGATTTCATTGACTATCATACCCATAACAGTGTTTCATAGCACTTCTCACTGTATTTGGGCTTTTACATTTTTTCTGCCCCATTTAGCTAGTCTTAAAGGAGGTGGTATGAATGTCCCATTTAGGGTGGAGCACTTTACTGTCACTTATTTTTAGTGTCTTAAGCAGCCATACATCTCTGCATTCACCAGTGTTCATTACAAGAGATATTTCTCTGATTAAGAATGAGAGTAGCATTTGTCTATCGGTATACATATAAGTATTTAAAAGACAACTTGGCACTCAGTGTAGCTAACCAACAGTAAAAAGTCCTCCTCCTCTGTCATGGGTTAACTGGGTTTACAGTACCAGACATGAATTCCCTCTTGGCCGGTAGGCCTGGAAACTAATCAGAGTACTTGGTTGCCACCATGATGGTTGTGTCATTGTAGTGACGAGCACATCTTGCCTAGCCGGTTGGTATTTTGTTCACAGGGTCGTCATTGATGGTCACTGATGCCTTTTCTTCCCCAGCAGCCTGCATTGCATCCTCTGGCACGATGAAAGCTGGTCAGCAGGGAAGAAGCTTACAGCCTGGTTCCAGTTTGGTTTCTCTGTATCTTACACCCAAGGTGTGTGGTGTCTTCAGCAATAGTTTTATCAACTAATTCTGATGGACAATCAAGAGGAATGACAAGAGCCTGTATTGTGTAGGGGGCATCTCTCTGATCAACGACATAAAAGGAAGTATCCCATATTTGGCATGAGATTTTTGTTTAGTAATCTATGGCTGTTAGACACAAGTTTCTACTGTTTTGTTATTGACAAGTATTAAGAGAATTTTCCAAAACTGAGGAGAACAGAGGAGAGACTAATCACTGTGACATGATGTTAACTGTTTGTTATGGCCTTTTTCCAGTGATGGAGGTCAAACCCAGCACCTTGTACTTGCTAGGCAAGCTCTCTGCTACTGAACTAAATTCCCAACCAAGAAATGTTCATTAAAAATCGCAAAATTAGCTAACTTTATAGCTTTTCTGTGTTATTTTTGTTCAGTGAGTGTTATACTGTCTAACATATGAATATGTATAAGTCCAAAATGAAACTTGACTCATTTTAATGCCAACATCAGTTCCCTAAATTTGCCAGCAGGCATTTGGAGGCAGTAGGAAGCCATGTCATTATGGTTCATTGCTAGAGTTTAGCTTTATTACCTGTAGAATTAAGTGCATAACAGATTTGCTTTCTCTCTTCTCTATTAAGTTTATCTCATTGACTCCTTTTCCATGAGTTGTGAGTATAAAAATACAGACTTTATTAGAAAGTACATTTGTCTATCATCTATATGTATATATTATCTCTATATAAATATACTGATTTTTTTGAGACAGAGTTTGTGTTTCTTAGATTTGCATTTGTTCCAGCCACCCTAGCTTTCCCCTTTACCTGCAATGCTCCTTTTTCCCCTTCATGCCTGCGCTCAAATGGCACCTCATCAGGAGGTGGGACTTCCTGTCCATTCTTTCTAGAGCAGCAGCCTCTCCATCCTGCCTCCTTCTTCTTTTTTTTTTTCCATTTTAGTGCCTGATTAAAAAACATTACAAAGCTGCAGGTTTCTCAAAAAATAATGATAGTGTTTGGAATTTAAAATTTTTTCTCTTTTATGATAACAAGTAACCCCCAGCATCTCTGGAGGTCTCTACTATATGTACAGAGAAGATAATTCTGCACTGTTGGGGGCCAGAAAGGATGAACATTCTAAGGATGCCGTGAAAAGGTAGTTGGGCAGAAAAGAAATTGATTTCCTAGGCATACCCTTGTTAGTCATTTGCCACAGAACTGTTTTTTTTTTTTTTTTTTTGTCAAGGCCTACCCAGTACTGTGGATAAATCTAGAATTCTAGATCAAAAGGAGTGAATATTTTTTTCTGAGAGAAGTCTGGCTTTATTCATGCCCAATCACAGTTAGATTTCTACTATGTGATGCTCACTGTTCTAGACAACCGCTAAACCCTTAAGGAACTAAAAAGGCTAGGTTTGTAGAGATATGCAATTTTATACAAAAAGTGTATGATATGATATGGTATGATAAGAAGTATTGCTAATTATGGAAAATGAAATTATTTATAAGGCTGTGGAGTGAGGACTATAGAAAGAACTGGTCAATGGATAATCATGGCAGCCCCTTTACATTGAGTTGAGTGAAATGGTGTAGCATCCTTTAGGATCCCTAGAAGGAGAATGGGCTAGACAGAGAGAATTGTCTGTGTAAAGACCTTGGGGTAGCAACTTTATGTGGACTGAGCAGGTTGTATGTATATGTTTAAGAGCACACACACACACACACACACACACACACACACACACACACACACACACGTATAGCGCTAACTAAAGAAAAAGAGGCCATGAATTTGAAAGAGAGTGAGGTGGGTGGCCCACAGGAGGAGGATTCACAGAGGAAAGGGAGGGGAAAAATGATGTAGTTATAATGTCAAAAATAAAGACATTAAAAGTAAAAAGATGATACGGTGGGTGAGAGAGTTTATCTAGGATCCAGTCAGGCCACTCAGACCGAGTGAACAGTGAGGAACAGGCTGGTAGCAGGAGTGGAGAGGGCTGCAACTGGAGAAGTAAACCCAGTGTGGCGTGGTGTGGTAGTGCTTTAGAGTTGAGAGACTGAGCTTTTATAATTCCAGCCATTCTGGAACCCGGATTGTCACCTAATGGTTAGTAGACTGTGAGCTCCAAAGTGTGACTAGCAGCAGGCCCATAAAAAAGTGTGAAGGGGGTGGGAGAGATGGCTTATCGCTTAAGAGCACTGGCTGCCCTAACAGATGACCCGGGTTCACTTCCCAGCACCCACATGGCAGCTAACAACCTGTAAGTCCAGTTCCAGGGCATCAGACTCCCCCTTCTGGGCTCCACAGACCCTACATGCAAATGTTACAGAGACATACATCATATAGGCAAGACACCCATAGACATTAAATAAATAAATAAAATCTCAAAAACTGTATGTAGGCACATCGATGAAATTGACTGATAATTTTAAAAAACCTGTTCATGATCCGCTAATCTAGTCTATCCACAAGTTTAAAGATAAATTCAGCTGCGGCACACTTAAAGGCAGTACGTCTTCTGCCGCATTGCAGCATTTCTACTTGCTTGTGGTGAGCACGGCTGTGTGTATGCTCAGCTGACCCCACACTGGATTAGTTCTAGTTTCTCCATGAAGGAAGGAGTTAAAATCTTTAGTCAGCCACAAATAAATGAATGAATGAATGAATAAGTAAACCATCCGAGCAACACTGTATGGTCTCAGCATGTTGCATTTATATATATATATATTGTGTGTGTGTATTTAATTATAATTAAAGAAAAATAGGTCATGAATTTGAAGGGTGGAATGTGAGAGGGTGAAGTGACGTTTTTTTTTTTTTTTTTTGGTTTTACGAGACAGGGTTTCTCTGTATTGTTTTAGAGGCTGTCAGTCCAGCCTGGCCTCGAACTCACAGAGATCAGCCTCCCGAGTGCTGGGATTAAAGGCGTGCACCACCACCGCCCAGCAAAGTTACTTAATTATATTTTAATTGGTTTTAAAAAGAAGCTTTAGTCAGTGCAGTGCCAGCAAGTATCCACTTCAGCTGTTTTACTGTCCCATTCTCTCCTGCTCTAGCTCCCCTTTTAATTCCTCTTTTATTTTTAATATCCTGTGTCTAGAGGTAAGAAAGATATCCAGAGTGAAAAGATGAGAGAGGGAGAGGAATAGACATCAAAAGTCCAGAAGAGAAAACGAGAAGCTTCGGATCTGAGAAAGAAATAGAGGTGTCTGCCCCTGCCGGTGACTTTAGTTAGCCCCTGCCCTTTCTAGCATGCATGAGGCTCCCGGGAGGTCCTCGCATTTCCAACCACATGCACTGGGAACTTCCTTGTGCATTCTGCCTCCTGGCTGCCAGAGGGCTGAGAAGAGCTCTGTAGCTAGGTCACTCTTAGTGTCTGTGTGCCTGGGTTGACTCATGGATCTCTTTGCTTAAAAGACTATCCTAATAACTGTCTCTGTTTTTATAGCTACAAATAAAAAAATCCACATCTTAAAAAGTTTTAATTAAAAGTTACAAAATTTAGCCGGATGGCACCTGTAATGCCAGCACTTGGAAGGTAGAGGCAGGTGTTCTCAGTGAGTTTGAGGCCAACCAAGGCTGTTTCACAGGGAAACCATGTCTCTAAAACAAAACAAAAATATGATTAATACAAGAGCTGAAAAAAATTATTGTACACACCTGAACACATACACACACACACTCACTGTAGACCTAATCTTTTTAATCTCATGAGAAAGTTATTCCTGAAATAGCTAATTCAATTTTTTAGTTGTTTTATCTCATATATTTAATTTAGGTGTCATTCCTCTTCCATGACATATAATGTTTGAACCTGATAATTGTATCAGTGGCTTAAAAAACAAGGCTTCAACTTGCTTGAGGATGATTAGGTCCCTTTTTAATGTACAGGGTTAGAATCGTTGACCTGAGCTGGAATGAAGAGGATATATTAAACCCAAAAGACAAACTGCTTTGACTCATGATGTTAAGGTCAGAGTTATTGTCTGTGGGCTGTTGAAGGCTGACATGTGTTCATAGCTCTTCGTGTAATAACTGTCCTGGTGCTGGGTGTGGTGGTGTACACCTTTAGTCCCAGCACTAAGGAGCCAGAGGCAGGTGGATCTCTGTGAGTTCCAAGCCACCCTGGTCTACAGAGTGAGTTCCAGGACATCCAGAGCTGTTACATAGAGAAACCCTGCCTAGGAAAACAAAATCCAAAAACCCAAGAATTTCCTGGGGTTTGTGAACACTCATGGTGAAACAGCTCCACAGTGACAAGGTCTGGGTTGAAGGTTTCTGTTTTGTTTTGTTTTTTGTTCTGTTTTTATCTTAGAGCTATGCCATAGTCAGGGCCAAGATGTTTAACTTCTTTTTCTTGAATTCTAAGGACTGACTCTCTTCAGCTTCCATGTAGCTGTAAAAAAACGCTTCAACTTTGTTCTTGAAAACCTTCAATTTCTAGACGATATGAGTGACACACAGTTCTTTTTATAAAAAGTCATGATTAACATGGTGCTGATTGAGTAGGCGCTTTGCAAACTCATTAAGAGTTAGCTCATAATGGAAGGACTGACTTGATGAATGCACCAGATATGGTGACATGTAACCATAGTGAACACTAGGTGGCGCTCCTCCACTATGAGATGATATCCTTTCTGGCTCCTATTCCGTGTTTATTAGTTTTAGTTATATTTGCATGCCATTCAGATGCCACCCTTGTAGAAATCAGGAGTGCATGCCTCCACAGATTGTCTCGTGAAGTGAAAGATAAACTTGTCTTCTCAAATTAAAAAAAGAAACAATATATACAATGAATTCTGTTGGATTAAACTTGAAAATGGCATTTTTGAAATCTGTTATGCTACCAAAAAGCTTGACTTACTAAAACAATGAGCAAGGCTTTAACATAAAATAATATCAGTTATATGAGACAATATAGGCAAATGCATGGAAGAAAATACTATACTAATCCGAGCCTCTTCAGTAGACCTGGTGATGAGGGTTACTAACACTTGCTGGTCTCCATAG